ACAGACACTACTTGAGTTTCTGCCCTATTTAAGCTCCTCGAGTCACTAGGATAAATATTCCTGGCCATAATGGTATCCTAAATTAATCTAGGCCAATTTACACTTTGTCCAGAAGCAAGCCACAGCATGGAGTCTTCTCCAAATAAATAAGAGTCTGGCAGATAAAAAAGTAATTAGATCAATTTACATCTTATATTGCAGCATCTAAGAAATATTCATGAGCTGCAGAAAAATGTTTGCAATTTGCTGAAAGATTTAAGGAGGAGATGGCATGGCCCTATAAACATGTAAATACTTTCAAATGATTTTTCTCTGATTGATCTATGGTAAGTTGCTGCTAACAGAACAAGAAAATTAGCTGAGACCTGGGATAAAAAGAAGCTATAGTAACCTAAGAAAGGAAAACAGTCTGGCAAAGGTGCTAGCAATCCAGACGGAGTGATGAAACTGGTCTGAGACACGTTGAGTGGGGCATCTAACCATGAGGATGTTTCCTAATCATTAGCTGTGAGGAACACATATATAAACTGGGGTTGGGGCAGGGCGGGGAGGGAGCTGTAGCTCTATCTTACGAATGTCAGTTGAATCATTTATTTAACTTCAAAACAGACAAGGACAGTTCTAAAACACACAAGATCTAAAAGACACAAGAATAACTCCACCTGGGAAGCATGTTCAGAAAATGTTCACACTCAGTCTTTATTTAATGACAGTAGATCCAATGAGTCAGCTAATAAGCCAAGAGATTAGAAAACCGAGAAGTCAGACGGTCCAAATGAGAAGCAGCAACTAAGAGACTAAAAGGGAAGCTTGACAGCCTGGTGTTCCACAGACAGATGCAGAGGCAGTACTGCAGAGACTGGATTAAATGAAACAAGTAACTAATATCAGTTTGGGCCAGCTGGGGCTCTGGGATGTCCATGAGGAAGGTATTTACAGTGGAGAAATGAGAATAAAATACTGGTTTTAATGTATTTTTTCAACATACTGAGAGAAAAAAATGAACAAAACTATGGGAGGGCTTTTTAAAGGAATTTTGATATTCAGAGAAGCAGGAGAGGAGAGGCAGCAGAACGGCAAGTTAGAGTCAAAGACAAAAAATCATCACACCGTGTCTGAGAGTTATGGAAATTAGATGAGATATATAAGAACTACAGGGGCTGAAGGGGTGACCATTAACTGTCTGTAGCTTTTCACCCAGGGGTGATACTCTCACCTTCCCTTACTACTCTTTGCAGTGTAACCCTGCAATTCCTCCTCTAAGATGGGGAGTTTGCCTTCCAGCGTCTCGTTTATGGCTAGGTCAAACGACTTCTTTAGCCAGTGAGAAAAGAACACAGCCAAGGCTTAAGATGTGTCTGATGCCACTGGGTTGGTTCCGGCACATTACTCCAGGAACATGGTAGAACACATTCTGAGTTGCACACTGATCCTGAGTGAGACAAATGAAACCAACAAGTCTTGCTTCCAGTCTTCTGCCAAGACCATTCTCCGTCCACATGGTGTAGCCCAAGCTAAAGCTCAAATGTGGGAAGGAAAGAGAATTGCCACTGTTGCTCATAAGAGGGCTTTTTCTCAATATATGTTTTATTTAAATTAGAAACATGCGTGCTTCACATGTCGATCCCAGCTCCCTCTCCCACCCCTCCTCCTTCGTCCCTCCACCAGCCCCCCCAACCCTCAGCCCAATCTCCACATCATTCCCCAAGGAGGGTGAGGCCCTCCTTAGGGGGATCTCCAAAGTCTGTCATTTCATCCAGGGGAGGACCTAGGCCCTTCCCCATGTGTCCAGGCTGAGAGAGCATCCCTCTATTTGGAATGGGCTCCCAAAGATCATTCATACACCATGGTGAACAGTGATCTACTACCCAAGGCCCCAGTGATTTCTGAGGCTTCCTTACTGACACTATATTCGTGGAGTCTGGGTCAATCCCCTGATGGTCTCTCAGCCATCAATCTGGGGTTCAAGAGCTTTCCCTTGTCCAGTCAGCTGTCTTTATGGTTCACCAGCAAGGTCTTGACCCCTTTGCTCATCACTTCTCCATCTCTGTCACTGGGCTCCAGGGGTTCAGTTCAGAGTTTAGCTGTGGATATCTGTCTATGCTTCCATCAGTCACCAGATGAAGGTTCTAGGATGACTATAAGGTAGTCATCAATCTTATCATTAGGAAGGCGCTATTAATGTAGTCTCTCTACTTTGTTTGCCAATTGGTATTATCCTTGTACATCTCTGGAAATCTCACTAGTGTCAGCTCTCTCCTCAAACCTATAATGACTCCATGTATTATGGTATCTCTCATCCTGGTCTCCTCTATTCTTAGCCCGAGTCAACCTTCCTGCTCCCCTATGTCTTCTTCTCCCCTCCTTTTATCCCCATCTCTTTTTCCTGGTTCCCTCTCCCCTCCCCCCAATATTCCCAATCTGCTCAGGAGAGCTTGCCTCATTCCACTTCTCTGGGGTATCATGTATATCTCTTGGGAACCACCCTGTTTCCCAGACTCACTGGCACTGGGATTATATGCTGACACTCCACTGATCCATGTCTAAAATCCATATATGAGTGAGTACATACCATGTTTGTCTTTTTGTGACTGGGTTACTTCACTCAAGATTCCATTTTTTTCTGCTGAGTAGTACTCCATTGTGTAAATATACCACATTTTCTCTATCCACTCTTCAGTTGTGGAACATCTAGGTTGATTCCAGGATCTAGCTATTACAAATAATACTGCTATGAACATAGTGGAACAGACATCCTTGTTATATGAATGGGCATCTTTTGAGTATATGCGTAAGAGTGCAATTGCTGGGTCTTGTGGTAGACTGATTTCCATTTTCCTGAGGAATCTCAATACTTATTTCCAAAGTGGTTGTACAAGTTTGCATTCCCACCAGCAATGCAGAGTGTTCCCCTCTCCACATCCTTCCAGCATAAACTGTCAGTGGTGTTTTTTTTTATTTTAGCCATTCTGACAGGAGTAAGATATCTTAGGGTTGTTTTGATTTGCATTTCCCAGATGGCTAAGGATGTTGATCACGTTCTTAAGTGTGTCTCAGCCATTTTAGATTCTTCTATTGAGAATTCTCTATTTAGTTCAGTCCCCCACCTTTTAATTGGATCCTTTGGTATTTTGCAAACTTGCATCTTGAGTTCTTTGTAAATTTTGGAGATCAGCCATCTGTCAGATGTGGGTTGCCTTTTTGTCTTGCTGGCTGTGTCCTTTGCCTTACAGAAGCTACTCAGTTTCAGGAGGTCCCATTTATTCATTATCGATCTCAGTGTTTGTGCTACTGGTATTATGTTCAGGAAGCAGTCTCCTGTACCAATTTCTCTTCTAACAGGCTCAGTGTGGCTGGATTAATGTTAAGGTCTTTGATCCATCTGGACTTAAGTTTTGTGCATGGCGATAGACATGTATCTATCTGCAGTCTTCGACATGCCAATATCCAGTTATGCCAGCACCATTTTTTGAAGATGCTATCTTTTTTCCATTGTATAATTTTAGCTTCTTTATTGAAAATCAGGTGTTCATAAGTTTGTGGATCAATCTCAGGGTGTTCAATTCAGTTCCATTGGTCTACCTATTTTTGTGCCAATACCAAGCTTTTCTCAGGACTATAGCTCTATAATAGAGCTTGAAGTCAGGAATAGTGATGCGTCCAGACGTTGCTTTGTTGAACAGGGTTGTCTTGGCTAGCCTTGGGTTTTTTGTTTTTCTATATAAAGTTGAGAATTGTACTTTCAAGGTCTGTGAAGAATTGTGCTGGGATTTTGATGGGGATTGCATTGAGTCTGTAGATTGCTTTGGGGAGGATTGCCATTTTTACTACTTTATCCTACCTATCCAAGAGCATGGGAGATTTTTTCCACCTTCTGGTGTCTTCTTTAATTTCTTTCTTTAAAGACTCAAAGTTATTGCTATACAGGTCTTTCACTTGTTTGGTTAGCATTACCCCAAGGTATTTTATGTTGTGTGTGGCAACTGTAAAAGGTGATGTTTCGCTGATTTCTTTCTCAGCCCTCTTATCATCTGTATACAGTAGGGCTACTGATTTTCTTGAGTTGATCTTGTACCCTACCATTTTGCTGAAGGTATTTATCAGCTGTAAGAGTTCCCTGGTAGAGTTTTTTTGGGTAACTTATATAAACTATCATATCATCTGCAAATAGTGAAAGTTTTACCTCTTCCTTTCCAATTTGCATCCCCTTGATCTCCTTTTGTTTTCTTATTGTTCTAGCTAGAATTTTATGTACAATATTGAAGAGGTATGGGGAGAGGGGACAGCCTTGTCTTGTTCCTGATTTTAGAGGAATTGCCTTGTGTTTCTCTCCATTCAGTTTGATGTTGGCTGTTGGTTTGATGCATATAGCTTTTATAATGTTTAGATATGTTCCTATTATCCCAGATCTCTCCAAGACCTTTATCATGAATGGATGTTGGATTTTGTCAGACTTTTTCAGCATCTAGTGAGATGATAATGCGATTTTTGTTACTCAGCTTGTTTATATGGTGGATTACATTGATGGATTTTCGTATGTTGAGCCATCCCTGCATCCCTGGAATGAAGCCTACTTGATCATGGTGGATGAGTTTTCTCATGTATTCTTGGATCCGATTTGCCAGTATTTTATTTTATTGAGTATTTTTGCATCAATGCTCATGAGGGAAATTGGTCTGAGTTCTCTTTCTTAGTTGTGTCTTTGTGTGGCTTGTGCATCAATGTTATTGAAGGCTCATAAAAAGAGTTTGGCAAAGACCCTTCTGCTTCTATTGCATGGAATACTTTGAGGAGAATTGGTATAAGCTATTCTTTGAATTTCTGGTAGAATTCTGCACTGAAGCCATCTGGCCCTGGGCTTTTTTTGCTTGGGAGACCTTGGTAACTGTTTCTATTTGCTTAGATGTTATAGGTCTATTTAAATTCCATATCTGTTCTTGATTTAATTTTGGCAGTTTGATATCTATCCAGAAATTTGTCCATTTCCTTTAAATTTTCAAATTTTGTGGAGTACACGTTAGCACTCTCCTTTGCAAGGATAGAAGAGGTCCTTGGGCCAAACAACACCCATACAGTTAAGGCATTGCCACCTACTCCAAGCAGTTTTTAATGATTATTTTCATGAAAGCTGGTTAGCTGTAACACCGTCTATGAAGACTTACAAAATTCTAGACGCTGACCCAAGCATGTTCAGTACCAACGAAAGCCTAAATACCTAAATTTCAGACAGAAAGATATTTTCACCATTCTGTGTAACAAGATTCTTCATAATTTATATAATACTCTATTCTTTTGTTCAGAACAACCAGAAAGGAAATTATGAACTATATAAGAGAGTCTGCATGACTTTTATGATTCTTTTCCTCTCTTTTTGAAAATATTTGGCATGCTTTTTCTGTAGTTACCACAAAGAAAGTGTAGATTTGAGAAATGGGATTTTTCTGATTTCAGGAGTGGAAGATTTTTTTAATGTGTAAAACTACAGAGAACTGCAAGAACCAGCTGGTGTTGTAGCAGAGACAGCCAATAGCTTTTATGGGCATTTAGATGAAAAAAAATCATTTACTGCCTGCTTTTTAGCCACCTGATGACAATCAAGGCAAACACGTGTGGTGTGCAGCCCCATCCTCAATTAAACACTGGCTATATGGAGAAGCATTTTTCGAAATACCTCCAACACAGTTTAGATTTTAAAAGGGATAATTTACACCGTGGAATTGGGGGCTGCTAGGCTGGAAAGCCATATATAAAAAATTGGTAAAGATTTCCACATGTCTAGCCATTGGCAGGATGGGAGGATTCCACTTGGGCTGGAATGAGGGACTTTACAGTCATGCCCATAAATCCTGTCCAAGGATAGAACATATCTTACTAGATCAAAGTGTGAATTAATTGACTCTTTCCACATAACAGGATCTATTTCAGAGCTTGAACACCAGTTTATGTGAAAATGAGAGAGAATAGCCGAGTAAGGTATAAAGGACTTGAAAGCTGCAGAGGTATTCATTCCAACTGAAAATGAACAAATTAAACATAAGATGGTCAATCTCCATTTTGATCTTGATGATGGGGAGGATGTAATAAGCAGGTTTGAGAGACAATAAGTACAGTTTGAGGGTAAATTATATTTTTAAAGTTCAAAAGCAAAAATAAGTAGAAGTGAGTTGTCAGGATATTGGTAGAAAGATTTTAGAAATCAGGTTTGATTAAAAAATTTAAGACAGAGAACATGCCACTAAAATATTACTGAAATTGCTACATCTTTAAACTGTCCCTCTTTATCACAGCATGCATAAATATCTTCATATAGTCAGTAATGCAGAATGAATGATTCCATTCTGGTAATCATATCAGTTCATCTAGCTTATATTTAAGTAGTAAATGCTGTATCTTTGGTGGATACATAATCCCATACAAATAGGCAAGCAAAATAATTCATCTTATTATTTGTACAAAATGTTAGTTAACAACAAAAGAGGCCTATTTAAATTTTAAATGTCACTGATGTTGTGACAATTGTGCCATATTGATATTGAACAATGAGTTTTGTCTTGTTTGGTTTGGTTTGGTTTGAATTTTTCAAGATAGTGTTTCTCTGTGTAACTGCCTGGCTGTCCTAGAACTCCCTTTGTAGGACAGGTTGGCCTTGAACTCACAGATATCCACCTGAGGGCTGAGATTAAAGGAGTGTGACACCACCACCCCACTACACTACGGTTTTTTTTTTGACACCATGTTTATTAACTTGTTTTGAGTCAAAAATACAGACTTGTAATTTAAAACTTGTTTTCAAGTTTTTCTTATTAAAACATACAAAAAGGATGATATGAACTTCAATGAAACTTTAGGTATCAATGTCGCACTAGCTGGCTTTTGGGTAACTTTTCACTTCATTTGCAAATAGATACCACGAATGTAAAAGGATCCTACCTCCCAATTCCATCAGAGCTAGATTTCATACGTATAAATGGATATGTCTTCTCACATGGCCCAACATAGATGTAATGGAAACTTGAGACATAATTTACTTGAATTTAAAGAAGACAATTGTTGACTCATTTGTCTCCACTCAGAAGATGTTTTTTAAATTTAAATTCTTTATTTTGCTTTTCTGCACCACACAATTGATATTTAGAATCTGCTATTTTAAAAATCTATCTGAGAATGATGTATTAATGTATTTATTTCTTTGGTGATATTCTGTACTAATAATATGATAAATTAGTAGATTTATCGATATATTCAGAAAATAAGTGAATACAAGTTTTAATATTAATTAAGTGTGCAAAAGTCACAAACTAGTAAGCTATAATTGAAGAGTTAGTATTCATTCCAGTCAGCAAATGTGGCACAGAAGTTTGCTGTGCACTTCGGAATCTTGGTGAATTCTGAAACTCTTTCTTGGCCTCAGAATCAGCATTCCACAGCTTGGTCACACGTGGCTTTTGGTTGTTTCAATTCTAACTGCTGCTTTTCCCAAGACCCATCATGTGGCCTAAAGCAAGTTGACCCTTTTATCAATGTGAGGGAAAAAATGGTCGTTTGAAAACTCCTTTCTTGCACATCAGTGAAGAAGATGGATAGATTAAAGCTCAAGTTACAAGCACGATGACAAAGCAAATGTAAATGATGATTAAAACTGAATTCAAAAAGTGGGCAAAAAAATGATGGGTGGTAGAAATGTGTATATTCCACATGTGATTGAGATATCCATTTCATACAAAGTATAATATGCTTTATACACAGTGGAATGGGCATTGGAGAAGCTGATTGATAAACAGCCTCTGTTGATCCTAAAGAAAAACATAATTCACGTTGAAAAAACAAACAAACTACAGCACTCCCTTCTGTGATGGCAGCCACACATGATGTTCTCTAAAACCCCAAGAAAATGGTACTATGTTTATTTGTACTCTTATGCATGTGAGTGTACATTTGCATATGTGTGTTGTGTGTTTGTGTGTATCTCTGTGTATGTCTCTGTATCTCTGTGTGTGTGTGTGTGTATCTGCATCTGTGTCTGTCTGTATTCTCTCATGAAATTGCTCCAATTTCAGTTTCCTTCAAATTCAGGTGATATTTTGGACTTAACTCCCTCTCAGCGGAACAAGCTCTGCATAGAATAACCAGATTTTTGAAGGGAAAGTGATCACCCATACTGAGTGCTAAGAGTCTGGTTTACAATTGGAGCTTGTTCCACAGCTCTGTAAGAATCATTATTTCCCTGCTTTGCTCCCTTATGATAAATGAAAACGCAGTAAGATATTCTGCCCAACTGTCCACTATTTCCTTTTTTATGGAGGTCACAAACTTTCTCATAAATTAAAAGAGTCTCTTTGCTTTGTGCCACTATAAAATTTATAATGATACACTCGCCAAGGCCAAAATACACAGGAGATAAAGCTTCTTCAATGAAATCCCTTTAGAGTCTGAATTCGCCTGTATTTGTTATTCTAACAGTAGCTGGAGGGACAGCGACATTAATTATTGAACTGATGGTAGATGAATACATTCTTCATGTGTGTTCAGAAACACTCAGGGAGCAAAGCCACAATCCAGAACCCCTTCTGAGCATGGGCACCTGCTTCCCAAGCTGCCTTTGCTGTCCTTAAAGAAGCACCCAATGCTAATAAAGCCTCTCTTTTCTAACAGAGACTTGGCTTGAAATAGAATAGAAAAACCCACATGCTGCCTCACTCTCTCCACTGAGGCAGTTGTCTGTCATTAACTAACCTGCAAGAACTACCTTTGGGCTTATCACAGCTGAATTCAGAGAAACCCAGCTCCTTCTCCAAGACATTACAGAAAAATCCTCTTTTGTTCTCTCCCCAGCAAATCAGCACTTATCTGAAGTTTCTCCTTGTCTCGTGCGGAAAACTCTGAAGTCGATGTGCTCAGAAATGAAGAAGATATTGCTGCCAGAGTAGAGCTTCGGAACACAGCTTAAATCCCTCTTCCCACGGAAGAGAAGGGCTTAAAGAATTTAGATGAGAGATGGCAAAATTCCACTAGCTGCATAATCATTCAAGGCTTGAGAAAACAGGCTCAAATTTTAAATGACGCGATTTAGAATTTTATGACATAATACTTAGGAAAATTGGAAAGCTTATCAACAAAGTAATCGAGTGTGCTTTATCTTAAATGGGGAGCTTTCGCGGTGGAAGAAAGAGGGAATCAGGCTTTCCAGGGCTGTTCCAATCGTCCCGCTTTGTGCCTTTTCTCTTCATTGATTTTATCTCGCATAGATTCCATTCATGTTTCAAATTAAATTATCCTAATACTCTCTGCCTCCTTGACTCAAATGCATTTTATTTCTAAATCACCAGGGACAATGAGAGATCCCTAATATTTACATGTGATACTCGCCAGGAGCTATGAGGCAGCAAGCCTCTACTTGCTGCATTATGAAGAAGGTCACTGTCACCCCCATCACTTCCTCATTCTTCCTCTTGGCCTCTCTCTCCAACTCTTCCTAATATTACAAATCTGGTTTCTTTGTCTTCACCTTGATTTCATGACCAATATATACTACTGATAGCAACTTCGGAGAAGGTTGCCCAAAATCTGCTGAAGAGAACATTATTTCCTTGGTGTACCCAAGGGACTTAACTGGCGGGGGTAAAAGGTCAAATAGATTTCAAGATAACCTGTAGAAAATATGATTTTAGCCATTTGAGCATAAATGTAGTTAACCCACATGATGGATGTCTCAGTAGAAGAAACCTAGAGAAGACAAAATGTATCCAATTGATTTGCTCCCCTGCGCTTACTCCTCTACACCATGCAATGGCCCACCAATGCTTACCCCTCCACACTACATGAATTTCCATCTATGCTTACCCAGCACACTATGCAATGGCCCAGGATTTTGAGTTCTATAGAATGGCATTCAGAGAGATTCCTTGGAAGAGAGTATGTTAAATGTAAAGGCTCGCCGGGCGTTGGTGGCGCACACCTTTAATCCCAGCACTCAGGAAACAGAGGCAGGCAGATCTCTGTGAGTTCGAGTCCAGCCTGGTCTACAGAGTGAGTTCCAGGACAGCCTCCAAAACAATACAGAGAAACCCTGTCTCGAAAAAACAAAAACAAAAACAAAATGTAAAGGCTCTTTTCCCTTGAAAC